ACTTTTTTGGAAAGGAAAATAAGAATTCAGATATAAAAGCTAGGAAAGACTTAAAAAACTTTTCAGGTGCTGTAGTCAATTAAGAAATTAGAAAATTGTCGTTACTTACTGTTATCACAGTCTTTTCCGTCGAAGCCAACTACGCATTTGCATTTGTAGTCGTTAACCAGATCTGAGCAACTACCTCCATTTTGGCATGGCTGAGATGCACAGTCGTCAATATCTGCATAAAAGGTATAAGTAATTAAGTCTTGAAACTCTAGTCTCGATTTTGTTTTTGTAAATGCAGCAAACGGGATAGCATTTCGGGTTTTTTTCATGTATTAGAATATGAAAATTAAAAAGTCCTCAAAAAACAAACCAACAAAGACCGAAACGCCTGGTGGGAAGAAAAATATAAGTTTTTAATATTTAGAAATTGCTAGCATTGCAGGCAGGCGTTCTCATCAGCAAGAATACGAAAATTAAAAAGTGCTACGAAAAAAAAGAAAATGTGAGAAGATGTTATTTTATTACATATTGAATTATCAAAATAAGAAAATTCCACGACACCAATTGAAAGACAAAAAGGATATGAAAAATTAGAAATTCTTGTAAGAAATGAGCTATCTCTTGGATACAGATAATTCGCAGGGATCTGTTGACATAAATTACTCACTGATTTCACAGTTTTTTCCGTCGAAGCCTTGTACACATTTACATTTGTAGTCATTAACCAAATCAGAACATTCTCCTCCATTCTTGCAGGGCTGAGAAGCACAGTCGTCAATATCTGCATGAAGCATGTTTTTGATAAGATTTATCCATTTTTAAAGTCTTTTCCCATTTCCCTGTAAAAAGGCAGTGAATGGAATAATGCGGAAATTGTTTCATAAATTGGAATACAAAAATTGGAAACGCTACCGAGAACCAAATCATCTAACGGTAGAAATAAAACTTAGGATCTGCTAACATATATTACTCACTGATTTCACAATTCTTTCCGTCGAAGCCTACTACGCAGTTACACTGGTAGTCGTTAACCAAATCCAAACACAAACCTCCATTCTTGCACGGAGAAGATTCGCATTCGTCGATATCTGCATAAAACATACATTATTTTCACTTCCTAAAGTCTATGGTCTTTATTCTGTCTTAAACTGGATTGAACATTAATTGTTTGATATTTGGATGGATAAACAATTTAGATACGAAAATTGCTGCCTTAGGGAATTAATCAATGGGGAATCGCAAGATATTTTACTCACTGGTGTCACAATCTTTTCCGTCAAAGCCGACTACGCATTTACACTGGTAGTCGTTCACCAAATCAGAACATTCACCTCCATTTTTGCACGGCGAAGACGCGCAGTCATCGATATCTGCGTAAGACATGTCATAAACATGAATTTCAGTTGTTAAACTTCAGATTTACCATATAAACACAATGGTAAAAGTAACAAGAACCTCTGCGAATATCAATTACTCACTGATTTCACAGTCTTTTCCTTCGAAGCCTTCTACGCATTTACACTGGTAGTCGTTAACCAGATCTGAGCAACTACCTCCATTTTGGCATGGCTGAGATGCACAGTCATCAATATCTGCATGAAACATGTTACTGGCATGAGTTTCAGATCTTAAACTTTACTATGGATTTCCCATACAAATTTGATGGTAGAAATACGTGATAGGGATCTGCTAATAGACTACGTTATGATTTGCTCTTCTACATTTCTAAAGTCTTGATTCCTTATCATAATTGGGCAAACAGAAAAGTATCAATA